ATATTAATCTACAACCCAATGTGTCTAAAGATTTTAATTTTTTAATATTCTTATTGTTCAAAAAAAATATATATATATATATATATATATATATATATAATATATATATATATATATATATATATATATATATATATATATATATATATATATATATATATATATATATATATATATATATATATATATATATATATATATATATATATATATATATATATACTTGCATATTATATATATATATATATTCTTGTAGTACCTCTTGAAGGATGATCTAGTGCAACACTTATTTATCTCATGTCAGTAGAATCATTGCATTTTTAATGGGTATATATTGTATTCTACATGTAGTGCATATGAAAGTAGGTTGGTTGGTCATTAGGTCAGAATTTGAAGTCCAGTGTAATAACTAATAAACCATTTACCATTTGCTTATTGTCATCATGGTTGATATCATTAAAATCTCCAATATCATCATCAACACCACTTGTCTGAAGCAAACGGATTCTTTTCCACTTATTTTCTTTGCCTTTAGTTTACTCGATTCATGTCACCTGGTTTTACTTTTTCTTCTCTTTTCAATCCATTAAAAGAATCACCCCTCCACATGCCGCTCTTTTTCATCGTGTCAAACAATCGTCTTTTCCCCACCCAGACTTTTTTATTTCTTTCCTCCTCTCATTCTGCATTCAAGAAGCCGAATCAGATTAGACAAGAAGTTGTCTTCTCTCAAGCACTTCCCCTCTTCATCAGCCACCAACCATAAAAACACGCTGCAACAACAAGCAGCAGAGAGAGAGAGGAGGCAAAGGTTTCTCAAAAATCCTGATAATGGATCAGGTGATTCTTCAAGTGCCAACGGCTATGAAGAATGGTTGTAAAAGATTTTCTTTTGAATCTAAGACTCTTGACTCACAAAGAAAGGGAAAAAAAAGAAAGATTTTTACCTGAGAAGATGTAAGAATATTACCTGACCATTCTTTTGTGATTGGCTTTTCTCTTGGAAATTCTGGCAATGGGCATTCATGTATAAATACCTGCCTGCTTGTATAATGAAAGATAAAGACAATGTCTTTGAAATTGGTTGCATTAAATATTAAAGAAACTAAGCCCAACTGTAAAATTACCGAAATATTCTTGTCTTTACGTACATTATATATATATATATATATATATATATATATATATATATATATATATATTAGTATATAATATAATAACAATAATACCAAATCCCTACTTAGAGTTTCATGCAATGGCAATCATCAAGCAGAGACCTCAGTTTTTTATATTTTAAGACTTGAGCATATTTTAAGCTTTAGCTTTTATTCGTACAATATATATATATATATATATATATATATATATATAGGCTCCTGAAAAAAAAAATTAAATTCAGTTGAACTCTCTGGGAAGAGGTGTGGGTTTGTAAACAGTGACTATTATGGCTGATATAGCGAGACTCTTCGGCAAAAGTGAATTGAGTCACTGTCAGTCACTGTGTGTGTCTATCTAAAAATAAACACGTTAAAATTCATGTTCATCCCTGCCATGCACCGATGGCTTAGTGGTAGAATCTCCGACTGACACCAATTCAGTCAGGTTTTGATCCTAGCTAGAGGCAACCGGATGTCTAGCCACACTGAAGAGCTGTGAAACAGCGAAACAGTCTGTCTGTGGATGACTTTATATATATATATACACACATATATATACACACACACATATATATATATATATATATATATAAAAGACATTTTTATGTTTATACATTCTATTTTATAGATACAAATATTTAAGTAAATGCTCTGTTTATAATAAACAGTACTAAACAACATTTACTGGCCTGAATGTCCGAGAAATTTTCACAAAAAATATTCGACCTCTGACAGGATTCGAACCTGTATCCTATATGGAACCATCATTTAGCTCTTTGAAATCCTAAAGAATGAAATGCATTACATGAGACTTTTTTTCACTTTGTTAGATTTTTTTTTGCCTAAAATTGCTCTTGAGATATAAAATTTTATCTATCATGTTCTCATGTACATGTATAAATGTGTGCTTATTAGTCGTATAAATTTTAGCTCTGTTATTATACATCAAGCGCTGTTTTATCACTACCACTACCACTCACTGTGATATATATATATATATATATATATATATATATATAAGACACACCCAAAAAATAAGACTTACCCCCAAAATTTTGGAATCTTGTGTCCCTCTCCTTTTTATCTCTCAAATAAGCTACCGAATTGTTTTTTGATTTTCTAAGTAAATCATTTTCATCGTAAGTTACCCAATATTGCCTGATGATTGGACAATGTTTAAGTTCCAAAACAAAGAAATTTTTGTGTATTCGATGTAAAATATTTTATAATGATGGACTCTCCCACTGAGTTTGATGTATAAGGTTCCGATGACAACAACCTAATTATCTGCATGCCTATGATAGGCATGACTTTTGAGACTTGCTCGAGAATTGCACAAAAGACCACAAACAGTACAGGATAATGTATTGTATCCAAGTTCAGCAGGAACACTGTTAGCTGTCTTATTTTTCTTTCGTATTTCACACAGTTGAATGATGTTTCCTTCTTGATGGTGCATTATTCCTGAATGACAGCTAGAACGATATTCTGATCTCTTCATAGCTACCTCTTCAAATTTCTTGAATGGAATGTTGACGCAAGAAAGGTTGCTTTCCAGTTTATCTTTATACCTGAGCCAATGTCTACCAACATTTCTATGACCAGTATGGAGTTCACTGTAGAAAAGAACTCTTGATATGCAATCATCACTCATCCTTGACACATGGCCAGTCCAACATAGTTGTGATTGCATTATGAAGGTCTTGATGATACCAATCTTTTATTTCTCAAAAAGGTCGGCATTTGACACTCGGTTTAAATCAGAAAAGGGATTGCTGTGTGTCATAAATTAATGCAAGCAGTACTGAGAGTATATAGCAATGAAATGCATCATTTTCACCCATTAATCCTAAACCTGCTTTGCATGAACATGTGCAGTTGTATCAATGAAAACATCGTTTTAGTCCATTGAGGTCCTAAAGGATGAAATGCATCACTTGAAAACTTTTTCCATTTTGCCACTTTTTTTTTTTTACCTAAAATTGCACTTGAGATATAAAAATTTATTTATCATTTTTTCATGTATATGTGTAAACGTATATTTATTATTAGCATAAATTTTAGCCCTGTTATTATATATTAAGCACTGTTTTATTACCAGCAGCACTCACTGATGCTTTTCACTGTTGTGCTTTAAGTAGTCAATACAACTGATTTTGAAATTTCTGATACCACTCTGGCAGAAATATCATCAATTATTTCTATCCAGGACAACACACCTGAAGTTAGTATGAGGCTCATTGACAGCTGAAAGGTTACTCTATAGCTTGTCATTATACCTGAGCCACTCCTGTCCACCAGTCCTTTGACCACTGCCAAACTGGTTAAATGTGGACAACTTAGGTATTTTGTCATCACACATTCTTGCAATATGACCAGGTCAGCAAAGTTTTTACTGCATACTATACTATGTTACATTTTGTGTAAGTCAGTATGAGGCACATTGATAGTTGAGAGTTTACTCATTAGTTTGTCTTTAGACCTGAGCCAATGCCGTCCAACAGTCCTTTAACCACTGCCAAACTGGCTAAATGTCATGACAACAGGTCAACAAAGTTTTTTTTGTCATCACTTGCTCAAAGTCAGTATGAAGCACATTGATAGCTGAAAGTCCTTTTACTGCCAAACTGGTAACTTGTCCTAATCTGGAACTATGGCCATTTAACTATATTTTATCATTATATATATATATATATATATATATATATATGCTTCTAATGCTCTGGATGGAGCAGCTTGGGGATAGTAGTCATGGCTCTAGGGGGCACAATCCTATGAGTAAAGGAAACTTGGATGAGTTCCACCATGGAATTTGTGAATGAGCAGCGCAATATCAAGTCTAGTTCGCTACCTCTTCATCACCAAGGCCCGTTAGTACAGTTGGTATGATGTTTGCCTGTCAATTTAACTGTCTGAGTTTCAATTCTTGGTAGTGGATGCACACTGCTGACGAGTCCCAAATATAGGACGAAATGGCCATCCAGTGCTTTCTGCATTCTGTTGAGGTTTCTTCTGGACTTGAATTACTTAATTATCTCAAATCCTCCTTAATTTCTATCATTTTTATATATGACGGACTGTCTCATCGATTTTGATGAAGAGGATCTGACTTCATTTTTTATGTTTGTACCATATGTGACACTTCAATCTTGCATATAAGTCCACATATTGTGAATCTCAAAACACAGCTACAGGAATATTTGCTGATGCTTTTGTTCATTCTCTTTCGTCTTTTAGCTGGTCAATGCGACTGATTTTGAAATTTCTGATACCACTTTGGCACAAATAACTCCAGTTATTTCTATTCAGGACAACTCGCTTGGTGTTAGGATGAGGCACATTGACAGCTGAGAGGTTACTCTTTAGTTTGTTTTTGTATTGATTTCCTATAGAAATGATAGAGTAAATTCCCCCTTCAAGTATTAGCTTATTATTATTTCTGAAGAAGACATTGTCCAATTGAAACTTATTCCTTACCAATGGAACAGAAAGGAACGAGGACAATTTACCACCATGAACACGGCATAGCAGGTCCTGACAGTGAATGTCTGACCTGGTTGGACAAAGGAATGTAACTTGTTAGAACATTTGTCACAGTAATAGAAGTCATGGAGGGCTATGATCAACAGTGTTCTGAAAGGGCTTACATCCATGTAACATTGAAACTTATTACTTACCAATGGAACAAAAAGGAATGATGACAATTTATCACCATGAACACGGCATAGCTGGTCCTGGTCGTGAATGCCCACTTGGACAAAGGAATATAACTTGTTAGAACATTTGTAATAGAAGTCATGGAGGGCTATGATCAACAGTGTTCTGAAAAGGATTACAGCCATGTAACATTAAAACACTGGTTCTCGTCCACTCATTGAAGTTAAGCAACATCAAGGCTGAGCAGTACCTGAATGAGTGACCATGTGGGAATACCAGATGTGGCAAGGTTGGATGTATGGGTGGTGTAATGAATAATGATGTGAAATTTTTAATCAGAGAGCCAAGTTTCAATTCAAGTTGGGTTCATTATATCCACTTACGTGCAAATACCCTTGGGAAATGTATGAATCCAATTCTTCTCCCCCCAGATATGGATTAATTAGTAAAAATTAGCTCACTGAAACTATTATTATCTCAAAAGAAAGAAAGGAAGAAAATTGCATACAAAATATTTAGATTTCAGCATTAAATAACCCATAGAGGTGTTGATATGCCGCTAAACAACAACTGAGTTCTGAAGGGATATGGTACATGATAGAAGATATTGAAGCTTATAATGGTGACACTTTATTTTCGGAAGATTTTTAATTATATGTTTAAATTTTTCTGTCAATAGACATCAATTATGATGTAATTGAAGTTAATTTCAGACGCCAAAAATTAACGTTAAAAACCAGTCTAAAATCTGCTAAAATACGCCAAAGTAATTTCTTTGCAACTAATTTTATGCTATGTTCTTGTAATTAAAAACAAAATTAATACTTCAAAGATCTTTAAATTATTGCTATACATTTAAAAAATTTCACAAGAAAAAGTTTCTGATTGTTGCTACAATTTGAATGATTTGGGAATCTTGTTTATATATGATGATGGACTTTCTCGTCATTTTCGATGTATGAGTGTCTTTCATTTCAGTTTTTAATCCTGTACCTGTCCCCATTGTCTTAACTCTCTTGCCAGTGGATTTGTTGCACAGGTGGAATAGCAAAAAAGGAACATAGAACCGAACTGAAGATTATCCACACAAAAGATTTGTTTAGATTGGTGAAGGCGTGTGTAGAACCAGCCATACTTATTGGAAGTGCTGATGACAAGGAATTGGTGCAAATATTTGCCATGAACACAATGAACAACACGCCTCAGGTTTTATTATCATGGAGTTATACTTGTTGGTGTATGTGTGTATATATATATATATATATATATACCAACTTAGTCCTCAAGATTTAGTTCTGTCTAAAAGATCTTCAATTAAAGTTACCATGAAATGGAGGAGATAAGAAAATTCTGGTATTTTTTATTTTTGTGTTTGTTTTCCATTTGCTAAGCAGACATCATGTCTATTTGTTTCTTGGCCTTTCATATATATATATTTACATATACATATATATATATATATATATATATATATATATATACATATATATATATATATATTTATATACATATATATATATATTTACATATATATATATTTACATATATATATATATATATATATTTACATATATATATATATATTTATATATATATATATATATATATATATATATATATATATATATATATATATATATATATTTACATATATATATATATATATATATATATATATATATATATATATATATTACATATATATATATATATATTTATATATATATTTACATATATATATATATATATTTATATATATATATATATATATATATATATATTTACATATATATATATATATATATATATATATATATATATATATATATATATATATATATATATATATATATTTATATATATATATATATATATATATATATATATATATATATATATATATATATATATATATATATGATGATGATGATGGAGTCTCCCATACGTTTTTGATGTATGATTGTCTTTCAGTTTAGTTTCTAATCCTGTACCTGTCCCAGTTGCCTTAACTCTCTCGCCAATGGACTTGTTGCTCAGGTGGAATAGCAAAGAAGGAACATAGAATCGAACTGAAGACTATCCACATAAAAGATTTGTTTAGATTGGTGAAGGCTTGTCTAGAATCAGCCATACTTATTTGAAGTGCTGATAACAAGGAGTTGGTGCAAATATTTGCTATGAACACAATGAACAACACACCCCATGTTTTATTATCACTGAGTTATACCTCCCTGGTACTGCCAGTGCACAAAAAGAGTGCAGTACCTTTCAATGGTAATTTCACATGATTTAGCCCACCTGCTGAAGTGGCTCACAGGGTTTGGTGCATGGAGAGTTGCATATATATATATATATATATATATATATATATATATGTAAATATATATATATGCAAATATATTTTGGGTTATGCATGAAAAATATAAATGTGTATCTTGGCTGTACTATTAGCAATGGTTTATATATCATCATCCTCCTCCTCCTGTCCTACTGCTTGTATGGATTCTCATGACTTTCTGTTGCCATCCAATTATTTTGTTTGGCAGGTTAGAGGGATTGCAGTTTACATTGTCACAAATCTGTTTGATATAGGTCTTGGTTTGTTGTTCTCTGCTAGCTCTTTATTGTGTAGGCTCACATAAAAGAACTTCACTGACAATTTCATCTTTAGCATCCCAAAAATGCCCTGGGAATCTGACTTTAAAACCTTTGATGATATCTGATACTAGACAAAGTTTCCCTTACTCATTGGTCAGACAATCTCAGCAGGTGACATTCAAAGCCACTCTTAGTGTGCAAATGGAGGTGCCATTCAACTTTCTTTTTGATCCAAGGGTCCATGGTGAGCAGTCATACAATATAATAGAGTTATATAGGAATAAAGTATCACTGCTGACACTGGAGTTTGAACACAGATCACCAGAGAACAAACACAGGCAATCCCATTTTGAATAAGTAGATCACATGATGGTAAAGGAAATGTATATATGGAAATTAGCGTGGCGTCTAAGTGATCGCTATACGGATTACTATTCGGATCCCTATTTAGTGCTTACTTTTCAAGTGAGTATTATTGTTACAAGATGAGATCTTGCCCTGCTTCGATAAACGGAAGTTACCATCACGAGTCCCCGACTCGAAATGAAAACTACACATCTACGCATAGGTTTGACGCAGATACTTCCGTTTGGGATAAACTTGAAAAAAAAAAAATGAAAAGAATTAAATCAACCAATTGGACCGTCTCCCGCGTATTCAAAAAATTGCCATTTGGAGCCGATAGGCGTGTATAAGAACACGGGAAAGTCAAAAGGAGGGCCACTCAACGGCAGAGGCAGAAGGGTCACGTCACTCACTCCTGACACACTGGCCCGGTGACGAAACGAAGCATGTGACTGCTGCTGCTATTGAACTCTCGTCCAATGCCTTGTCAAAGGGTACCTTTCCCTCAACTTCTTAAATATGAACTTTTTACTTGTTCTTATTTTCCTCACTAAAAGAGATTATAAAATATATCTACAGTCTTTCTTGTTCTTTCGATTCTGAATTTCATTGTTTTGCAACCAAACGCAGTATTTCGCCCGCATTGACTTCACATCGCCCACGTAACTAAATACGGAATATAACATTATCAAGCAAGTACTATTAGTACAAGTGTTATTCAAAGGCGTCAGACACCGTTATTGTTCAAGGGTGTTACTATAGTTGTATCTGCGATTACAAAGTCTCTACTACAATGGACAGTACGAAAGTGACAACAAGTTTTTGTTGACATCACAAAACAGAGGTAACAGTTGATTAAGAGAATCTACTTGTTATGTTGTCTAGAAGTCTAGATTTTGACACTAGTGATGACAATATACAAACATAAAGCTACTAAGCCATAAGGGGTTAATTAGCATGAAAAAATAATGGTACAGATATTAGCATATAAGAAGCAAGTACAGTAAAAAAAGAGGAATCAATAAGACAGTTGATAATGATTGACAATGCATTTAAATTTTGGAAGATCAGAGTTGGCTGAAAAGCAAGAAGCTGGACGAGTGTTCCATAGGTGAGAAGTGCGTGAAGAGAAACTGTTAGCAAAGAACTTACAGTTACATCTAGCCTCTTCAGTTATAAAATGAGACCATGCTGCCAGTCTAGTACTGCACTTCAATTCATAAAGTCTAGGTGTCATAGAGGAAAGTTTGTCAGAATAATTTATCATTTATTAAGGATTGAAGAGGAAGAGGAGGAGAAAGGCTCCCAAAATAGGTTAAGTAACAAGAAGTGAGCCTCAAGGCTGATTTTGAATTCAGAGTTTTTCCTTTTCCTAGACCAGTTGCCACCCAAGGCTAAAGAACCCAGTTTGTCCTACTATTTACCCATAGAGAAGAAGAGGATTTATACCTTCCCCAAGGGTATTAGCATGTAAGTGAATGTAATGGCTCCAACTAGAGTTCAAACTTGGCTCTCCGATTCCTCAATCTGGACTGCTATCCATTACTCCACTATACCTCCTAATTACCATGAAAGTATTTATAAAAAAACGCACAGGGAAGATAGATTATGGCAGTGAGAAAGAGATTGAAACTGAGATGCCAGATCAGGACCAATAGCATTGTTGATTTTTTTTCTTTGGATTTTATCAAGAGTCTGTAAATGCTGGAAACTCCTGCATCAATCTAAAATTGTACCGTTATTATTCATGATAATGATGATGTTTCATCATTCTAGAAATAAAGATCTGAAATTTCATCATTATAAAAAAAAAAAACAACCTTTCCACCACAAGCAATGTAGCAGTAGAAAAAAGGACAACACAAACTGGACAAGATGTATCTTCTTCACTCAGTGACAATCTAGAGTTGACAGTTTCAAAAGTGTCCCTTTACTGCAAAATGTTCGGAACAATTACAAAAAAGTATGGCCAAATTTGAAAGAAACAAAAAGAGACAATCATCCTGAGAAAATTTAAAACACAAAAGCAATATTGGAAATAATATCATAAAAAGAAAAATACACATTCTTGCCATTAATTTCAACATGTATCCCAAAGTCTTATTGTTGTATATTATTGTTGTATATTTTATTCTTTTCATTTTCAGTATAAAAAAAGAGAAAAGGAATCCTCTATCAACTATAAATACATGTAACATGGGGTAACTTACATTAAAAATTCAACATCAACCCCATTACACTACAATTTTATTTGGATTGTATGTGTAGACATCTTTAAATGTGTCAGAAATTTTTTTTCTGACAAGTAAGTATGGAGCTTAAAAACAATATATTACTTTTTTAGG